CCGGGGAGGGGGTATCTAGGAACCGAGGGTTTCCCAAGGATTGTTTTTTTCCCAACACATGAAATTCAATTAAGGTAAATGTAAGCTTTAAATTAGCGCGTTACAGGGAAGAAGGTAAGAAAAGTCTTCAACGCCCTGCGTGTTGTGTAACAGAGAAAAGGCACGTTGGCAGAGAGGCCGGGGCCCGCCACGCCTCTGCGAACGAAACCCTTAGCTCCGGGGAAACCGCGGGTTCCCAGTGGTCCCGGCGCGTTAAGAGTCCCATGCACCCCACCCGGGGGCTGTCCCCTCTGAGCCGCGTCCTTTCCCCTCAGCTCGGCCCCCGTCCAGCTCTCACTTAATGCGACTTATGGGGAATTACCGGAGTACCCCCCGGCCACCTGGCAGAATTGGCAGGTAACGACTCAATCACCCCTTTCCTCTACTTGCCCTATCTACCGCTGCCAGGGCCAAGGCAAAGGGAGGCGAAAGGCTGGAGGCGGAGGTCGGAATTGCTAATACCTTTTTCTTGGGCCCGGGTTCCCTGCGGTCTGACAGGTACTTGCCCAGCTTGAAGGTTCCGGGCACCGGCCCGAGGCGCAGGCCGGCCGGGATGCAGCAGTCGGCACTCACGCTGGTGGCCGGAGCGCGGGCTGCTGTGTGCATTGCTGCCGCCGCCGCCAGGCAGGCGCTCGGGTGCGCCGGGTCCTCCGCAGGGCGCGAGTGACAGAGCCCGAGCCGCGCGCGAGCCAGGGAGCCGCACCCCGACGTGCGTCCTCCGCCCGCGGAGTGACGCGGACGGGCATGCACTGCGCCTTTTCAATCGGGGCGGGCGCCTTTTGGCACCGCGAGCGCAAGGGCGCGGAGTTTGGTGAGAGAGTTGCTCTGCGGAGCAGCTGCAGAGTCCCACCCGAGAGGGTCACATGGAGTGGTTCCCTCAGCCCTCTGCATAATCGAGGCCTCTGAATGGCTGGCGCACAATGGTCCAGGCGACCTTCCCATTCCTAAAAATCCAATTTGTCAAGGGCGAAGAAAAGGCGCTGGTGAATCAAAGGTCCGGCGGGACCATTAATCCTCAGCATGGGGTATTGTCCTCGAGACAGTTACGATATTTTAAGTGACAAATCCACTGTATAATTTCTCCATAAATTTTACTTCCTTTTATTGTTCGCCGACAAACCAGTTTTGGGAAATAAGTGACTACTTTAAGTCTACTTGGCTGATTCCTTTGAGCCTTGGTCTACTTCAAAGATTTTTAATTCTCTCCCCTTGGCTTTATTGTAAAGGAGATTAAACAAAGAGATGGGGACTGTTTGGAGGACTTGTTAACTTCTATTGATTTCTGGCGTGTGCCATACAGAAATTAGGCAGGTACTTGATGGGAAAACACCAGAAAATACCTACACTTTTTAAATAACGACCATATTACCATTTCAGGGGATTGGGTCCAGGCCAGTTGTCTATTTAGAACCGCTTTTTCGGTCCTTCTGTCCAGTTACGCCCCGAAATATGAAGCGTCCGGACTAGTTTTGGTAGATGTGGTCCGTTTTGCACCACTGTTCTCGGGTGCACCCCGGACCCGCACCTTCTCTGGGAATGGGAAGCGGCCTGAGGGCCGCGGCTTTCCCGGCGAACCTGCGCCCTGTTCTTAGCAGAGGGTTGAATAGGGGTGTTGCTGGTTGCGTCTTTTTTATTTTTTTATCAGGTCTCCCTCACTTGCCAACCGACCGACTCAAGCCCTGATTTGCTTTTACGTTTTAAACCGAGAGGAAATCCTTGGAGCTAACTTTAAAGGCGGACTCTATCAAAGGTCACGGAAAAGAGAGTGAGGTGGGCATTAGCAACCCATACTAGCTAACCCATTAGCAGCCCAGTTCATGGACTATGAGAACGCGCGTACTTCGGAATTTAAACCAGAGTGCTCCTCGTTTTCTTTTAAGGAAGACCCCGATTTGTGCGGAGACATTTCTTTTCATAAGATAGCTGAGTACTTGAGTTCATCAGATATTTGTGACAGTTCTGCCTGCACCTGCCACGCTTTGCTCATCGTGGGCGCCGCTCCGCAAATCCTGTGGACCAGGATGCGGGCCCGACGCGGTATTCCGGGAGAGGCCTGAGAGGCTGTGGGTTTCTGGCCTGTGTTGGAGGCCCAAAGACTGTACACTTGAGCGGAGGACTCCCAGCAGCAACTACACCGAATTCTCCACCGGACTCTGCCGCCGGAAGGTGTGGTTCTTAGGTCACTGGCAGAGGTGAATGTGATTAACAACAGCGGCCCGACGCAAGGTGGCGACACCTGTAACTCAGCAATTGATCCCACGAGGCCCTCTAAGAAGCTCCGTAGCACCCGTCGATGGAGACTTGCGTTCTCCATACTGGACACTGTCAGGAGACGCGGGGTCATTTAGTCTGTGCTCTGTCATTCAAGACTCGGGGGAAACGTCTGTGAATTACTTTAGAGTCTCATTCTTCTAATCCGTAAAGTGGGAACGATGATGTAAATTTAGCTTCCACTCCGCGGTTGCGAAGGTCAATAGCAATGATCTGTGTGTAGAGTGAATGGCGCTCCCAAACTCGAGGTTTGCGTAATGGGGGAATCCAGGTCAGATCAAGAGTCTCAGGTCTAAGCATCTCCAGTCAAACGGTGCGGTAACACATGGATGGCGGGTCTCGGGGCTAACTCAAGGCCTGTATAGACGCGGCTGCTGAGGCGGAGAAGAGAGACACTTGGGTCCGGGCGGCCCTTCGGGCGCTCTGACCTGGCAGCCACGCCATGCCCAGGGCCACTTTCTGAGGGAGCTGCCACTGATTTTTCCCTCCTAATCCTCCAACTGCCCCTCTTCGGGCCTCGAGAAGGCTTCGAGCGACGGAGTGGAGGGAGCCTTTGATCCGTCAAGCCCATGAATGGCAAAAGCCGGGGGAGGGGAGGAGGAGAGGAAGCCGCTCCGAAGAGTCGAGGGCAATAAATTTAAGCCATGAACATGTCCCTCTAACCTCTGGCCTGGCGACTCCGGGATGACACCCAGTTTAAATTACCAGCACTGCGAGCGGGAAGGGGCGAGCGCGGGGCCTGGGTTCGGGGCTCCTCCCCGACCCTCCTTAATGAGTGAAAAAGCGTGAACGACACGCGAACAATTTTATCAATAGGACCATGTAAAGGCCGACTGTGAGGAAAGTTATTTATTAATATAGCCAATTGTGGCTGGTTCCCAGCCCCTCGAGAAGAAAGGGACTGCGCCAGAGGCATTCACACCAGCTCGCCGAGTTTTATTCTGTCCTGTGGCTCAGAGTTGAAGTTCCCCAAGTGAAATAAATTGTCCACAAAGGAGGAAAGGAACACATTTTCTTTTATTTTTTCTCCCCTAAAAAGCAAGGGTGAAACCAATCTAATGTGCCCAGTGGAGCAAGATGGGCCGTGAAAGGCTGGGTGTTAAAAGTAAAAGCGGGCTGTGCAGCAAATGGGATGGAAAATTAAATGAAATTAAATAGCTTGAACGGCCGTATTGTCCCTTATTAAAAAGACACATTAATTACATGGTCTCAGCCTTATTCAAAGACAATGTTGAGACTCAATCAAAACATTCCACTCGGCTTTTTTATGGACTTAAAATGGGCGTCTAGAGGCCCCGTTCAAGCGAAATCCCCTCTGAGGTGCGGGGCTAGGCGGGTTTGGGGGCGGCCCTGCTCGCTGCCCGCCGCAGCACTGCGCGGGCACCACTCCCGCCCCGTAACAGGTTGCCCCTAATGAGGCGCGGATGCTGAGAGCGGCAGCGAGCGGGAGGGGCAGGCTGCAGAGAGCTAGCTCTCCCCACTGCGTTGCTTCCAGACCCGGCTGCGTTGGCCGGGGGTGGGCGGGGGGGGACGGGGACTCCGCGTAGCTTCCGAGAGCAGGGCTGGAAATGCTGCCGGCGCCGAGCACGTGTGACCCGGCTGGGCTCCGCCTAGAAAAGAGGCCCTACAGGACCTCAGTGCTGAGTTTAGCGGCTCCTTTCCGAACATCCTTCTGCAGAGCTGGGGGTGACCGGGGCGCAAAGCCCTTGGGCTTCGGGTCCTCAGGGGGACCGAGCTGGCTGCATCCTGAGGCCCACTGCCTTGAGGACCCGGGCGTTGGGAGAATCACCGCCCCCTACCCCCCCCCAACCCTGGCCGGCTCGCAGTCTCGAATCCCAGGATGGAGGGAGATGCGCGGCGTCAGGGGCCAATGGCGAGGACGCGGGGCAGATAGGGCCCCGGAGACTCCGCGGAGTTGGGGCCTGAGGTGACCGGGGCCGCGGCCCCCGAGGGTGTCTGTCCCGGCCGGGCCGGAGGGTCAGCGCGGACCAGCTGCGCGGCCCCCGAGGCGCGGGTGGGACATTAAGGCCGGGTCTGAATAGGGCGGCAGCGACGGGCTCTGGGAACGCCACCAGATGACACGCAGGCGACGGGGCCATTTTCCTCTTAATTGCGAGGCCGGTGGGTGCGAGGCGGCCGGTAGGCTCCAAACGCACGGCCAGGACGCAGCCCGGACGCCGCTGGTGGGTTTTGTGGTGCCTTTTTTGTTGTTTTTTAAGTCCTTCATTGGAAGCGGCTCAATAAAAGTATTCAGAGTGCCTCTCAAGTTGCCTTTTAACCGGAGTTCCCCAACTTATTTCTTGGTTCTTTCGGTTGACATGGTGCAAAGAAAAGTCAGCGAGCGTGTTGCTGAATTGCAATGTCTCGGGGCACCTCCACATTCAACGCTCCTCTGCCGGCCGCTGCCGAATGAGCCCGCGCTCAATTCGATTTTCCTTGCTGTTGGGCACATTTAGGAGCGCCTCTATTTGTGAAGTTCATTTCTAGGCAAATGTATTCAAGAGCTGATGGGAATGAATAGGACCGTGTGTCAGCCGCCCCTAATTGGGATTAAAGCACTTAGGAGCATATGCAGAGAGTGACAGAAATTCTCAGGTTGCATTGTGTTCAGACTTCCACCCGCTTGGACACTCCTCCACCAAGGGAGATTTATAAAGCTTGCAGGGAGAAACTGAGGAAAGAAAAGCGAAACGGAACAGAACCGGGCTAATGGCTCACGATGGGGCTGCCGTTCAGCAAGTGGTGGTGACAGCTTCTGAGAAAAGATGCTGGGGGATAATTGAAGGCGGGCGGGGGAGCGGGTCTGAACTCTTTAATCAGAAAGGCGGGGTGTTAAAAGGAGAAATAAAGATGTTCTTGAGATTCCCAGACGGTTTTTCTCCCCCCCCTTTCCTTTTTTTTTCTGCTTCCCCTTGAAGAGCTTGGCTTTCTTTCTTTTTATCTCTGCCTCCCATCCCCACCCCCAAAGAACATACCATCTCTTGGGGCAATAACAAGAACAATTTGGTATTTGAATTAGGAAAAGAAAAGTCAAAAGAAACAAAAGTATGGGGTTTTTTTTGTCTGTTAAAGAGAATGTCACACTCAAATCAGTCAATGAAAATATTTCCTGATGTGTGGAAGTGTGTGCAAAATATACACACGCTCCGCCCGTTAAAAAACAAGCCGGATGATAAGTATTTGTATAAATTCAGACTGTGTATGTAGATACATAGTCTCTTGTAAATGTTCACTCTGAAGTGGCTGCTGGCTTTCCCAGATGAAGGTGACAAGGCCTTATATAGAAGCTAAAAATCAGCCTGGAGCTAAGTCTGAGACAGTTGCCTAAGCAGAGAGCGGTGACCACCTCTTGGCCCCTGAGAGCAGAGGAGCCAGAAATGACAGAAGAACACTGAACAAAAGAATGGTGAGGGAGAGAGCAGATATTTCTAAAATTATCTAGATGTCCTTGTTTGTTTCTTGATTTGTTTAAATC